AAAGTCTCTCCGACACACACTTTCCCCATTTTGCAAGTGGCATCTTGCATTTCATCCTGAGAGCACTTCTTTCCTCGAAAGTCTGAACTATCTTGTCATAATGCTGTTGCCAATTTCTGCCTGAGAGCTATGTTTACCAGTTCAACACAAAGCACCATAAGGAGGTGGTGGTCAAGTATTACATGTGTACATGACCAAGTCCTCCACACAACAGTTGTGTGTGTGTGTATTCATGATGATTTTTAAAGAAAATTAGTGTTAGCAGCGTGGTGTTAATGAATAATAGGCAAAAATAGACATAAATAGTGTGATTTGGCTATGTTAAAGGGTTGACAGATATAGCCAAATATAGACATATAAATATATAGAAACATAAAATATAGATACAGGGCCCTCCCTGGTGGCGCAACGGGTTGAAGAACTGCACTATGAAGCTAGCGTCAGCCGTTTCATCACGAATTTGAACCCCGGCCAGGAAGGTGACCCACATGGTGTGGCAGACCTCTCCTGTCTCGCCCTCAGCAGGGCACTTCATCAATCTGCCTGTTCTGCCCTCCACTCTGTCGCTGGTGACTCCTCTCATCGCTTCCACACACTGTCCTGTACCCCAGTTCTGTATGCATAAATAAATAAATCTTTAAAAAAAGAAAAGAAACCTAAAAAATTAAGTACATAGGAAGGAAGACAATATGATCTCATACATATCCTAAAATCACAGCATATTCAGATCCTTTGCTCTAATCCAATAGAGAATTCACTTTTTCCCATCTTCATTCTATCTCTCAGCAACTGTAAAATGGGATCACCTGAATCTTCTTCTCTCAAAATAACCTGCACACCCCAAGATCGATGGATCACCCTAATAGATCTGTTACCGCCACCATTCAATGTGGTTCTCACACTAACAAATGAAGGGTGTAAAATACAAGAAGAAAATACACCAAAATGTTAATGTGGTCATTTTTACATTGCAGGATTATAAAGTTTTTTCTTTTCTTTGTCATATTTTCTAAGTATTTAATTTAAGTATTTCTCAGTATTTCACTCTTAGAATAGAAGTGCCTATGGTCTGCTTTACAGGGGTGCTAATGATGGATTCCCCTACAAAAAAAATGCTTTGAAATCCCTCAATGAAAACATATTCTGAGATAGTAGTCTTAACTCACCAATCCCCTTTATGAATAAACAAAAGCAAAGTATTTAACTTCAGTATGTAGTAGCTGCTGCTCCTAATTAAAGAAATTTGCAGGGAAAAATCCAAACTAACTTTATATCCAGGTACCTCTCACATACTTTGTAGTTCAATCAAAAACTAATGTAATCAATACTGAGCAGCCAGTTAGCTGAGACACAATTAGACCACTCATTTCCATGTTCACAAGGTGAATTTCTTAGCTCCTCCAGGTATTATTAGGTGGGCATTGGGTATCAAGTGAACTATTGTGCAGTGATTCATTTCAACAGAACAAGCATCAATAAAAATATCAAATGATAGCAGCTGATGGACACTAAGAAGGAGATTGGAAAGGGGAGAGTCTAACTGTAATAAAATAATGAACTGCAGCAGACAGAAAATCACTATATGCATGGAGCAAGTTAACACTAAACAGACATCGAGGCTGGGTGCAAAAACCACTGTCCTATAGCCTGTGAAACTGGATGTAGTTGTTCTGCCTTCTCAGTTAATTTGTTGACCAGCTTTCCTTAATGGGTTGTTGCTTTTTCCTTCTCTAAGAAGTCGTTTTTGTTTTGTTTTTTAATCCTTGAATTTGAACACAACCACATATTTAAAAAAATGTGTCTATATGTCAGTAAATACTGAGATAAATAGAAGAAAAAAATCAATTGCTCACATGAACCATGAATATGGCTGAATAACTTCTACAAAATTGACTGGTAATTTTTTTTTTTAAAGATTTATTTATTTATTCGTACAGAACTGGGGTACAGGCCAGAGATGCGGAGGGTGAGAGGATTCACCAGAGACAGAGCGGGAAGCAGAACAGGCAGATCGACTAAGCACACTGCTGAGGGGAGCAGTGGGCAGGTCAGGAGAGGTCTGCCACGCCATGTGGTCACCTCCTGGGCAGGCGGGAATCAAACTCATGCGGAAGCGGCTCTTTAGTTTCTTAGTGCAGGGCTTTAACCCGCTGCGCCACCAGGGAGGGCCTGACTGGTAATTTTTATACTAAATCACCATGAGTGAATTTTTCACTTGCTTGGGTGATATTTGCCTTGCTTTTGGATAACATCCAATTAGGACAGACAGCCTCTGAACAGGCCCAGAAGGTATTGAATCACACAGTTTCCCATCTGGCTGGGGAAATTGTGGCTATACAGGCATAGTGGGAAGCTTCCCTTATACTCTATGGCCAAATGGACTCAACCCAAAATCACCTCACTCAGCCTGGGAACCTAACAATGATCCAAAAACACATTATGACTGGCAGCCCCAGTAAGCCCTTCCAAAAGCAATCAATTTGTCAAACAATCCATCAGTTCACCAAAAATGTGTTTCTATTAACTCTTTACAAAATTTATAGCAATTGATGTGATATGACATCTTAAACAGCTTGTGTTAGTTTTTCTGTGTTTTATTTTGACTGTCACTTTCCCACATTAATCCTAAAGTCATTCTGCCATGTATTTTTGGAACTAGAGGGAAAGACACACATACTCTAGATCCCTTGGGATGAAACCACTTATGACAATGATGAATTTCCCTAAAAGTCTTTAAGCTAAAAAGTTCTCTCTTTTCAGATTACCTAAGTCTCTTTTTTGAAGTTACTCCAAGGTCCCAAATGTCACTGTTCCCAAAGCCTCCACCCCCTACTGTTTTTTCTTTTTATCAACGTCACATATCTCAACTTGAATTTCCATCATATTCAGGGAGCTGAATGCACTTTTAAATATTTTTACAAATTAAATTATCAGGAAGGACTTCTAAAAAGAAAAGAAAGATAGCTAGTAAAAATACAAGGATTACTGTGGGGAAAAAATTAATAGTTATAGTTTCATCACTCTAAGAAGATAGACCTGTGCCCCCCTCAAGCTGTTGCTCATTTGAGGAATTCTCCCAAAAGGAATTCCTGCAACATGAACTTGTGTGTGATGCTAAAAAAGTGCATTATGATTTGTCCTGCCTTGAAGGTCTGAGACTAACTGCTCTCATCCAGTGCTTTTCCTCTCATAGCTTATTTTTCCTAAATAAAAAGCAGAAACATTGGGTTAGTGATTTGAAGGGTAAAGATTTTATGGTATCTAACAATCCAAAAATGCATAGGACAAGCAAGTATCCAGATATGTTTTAGATAAATGTCACCTAAAATTACAATCCTATATCACATCCGTTTTACTGTCAGAATGACTTATATTATAAACTCAAACCAAACACCCTAGTGGAGATGCTTATCTACAAAAGTATGTACAGTGATCTAGAAGATGATAAATAATACTAATATGATAACAGTTGTTTATTTATCTATAGTAGTGAATGTGAAAGGTGGAACAAATGAAAATGCACAGAAAGCAACAATTAAATGTTACAGAGAGAAGAGAGACTTTTGCAGCAGAAATCATGACAGGGATTAGGACAGAAAGGAATGAGAGAAAATTAAAAGAAAGCCTATCAAGTGAGGTACAAAACGGGCGGATTCAAAGTCCACTGAGGAAGAGAAATAAAGTCAATCAGAAAGAAGTTTTAGCTCAAACAGAGGTTATACAAGGAAAAAAAAAAATCACTGCTGATTTAAGGCAGAGAGAGATACTTCTCATCATTTTTGTACCACTAATAAAAATAAACCTGAAACCAAATGCTAGCCCAGCACACTATTTCAATTTTGCTGACAAGACAAATGATGCAGCAGTAAAGAAATTTCAATGTAATCATTGTTAGACCTCAAACAGTTCATTGTGAAACTAAAATCATAGCAGAAATGATGTGTTTGGAGACAGGAAATTAATATTTAATGGAAAGACTTTGGCAATATAAATTAGAGCTGGGATTTGAAGATGAGTTTTTTTTAAATCCCGAGCTAACTTAATATTAGCAGTTAAAATTAAGTAACAGAATTCAGTGGTTCACCAAGAAAAATGAACTATTAATCAAAATGCATTAGAATAGCAAAGGACATTAATTCAGCTGCAGTTAACAGTAAGTCACACTCAGTAGAGAAGAAATATGATTGTGCAGAGGTGGCAGAACAATACCTAGACATGTCAACAGGAATTGTGGATATACACAATGTAAAAGAGTGTGCAAAGTTAAGTAACAATTTTTTAAAGATTCTCTTTATAGTACAGACATATGAATCACAGTATAGACTAATTCCAACAAGTGTCCTCAAAAACTTCCCTATAAGGTAACTTCTATGTCTTATGCCATAGAAAACTGTCCCTAGGGGGGAAAAAAGTTAGATAATAAATCATATATAAAAATGTAAAAATCTTTAACATTCCCCTTTCTCAATAGTATATGAAGGTCAGTGTAAGAAAAAAATTACACTGTTGGAATTAGTTACTTTGATACTTAGGCTTTTTAATAGCATAAAGAAAGAATGCACAATGGCTTAAACCATTGTGTCCATCCAATAATTCTTTCTCCAGAATTTATAACAGAAATACTTTATAGTTTTCTTTGTTTAACCTGTAAAAGTTATAAGACTTGATACTTATATGAATTAAAAAGAATGAAAATGAATTTGCAGTGTGGTTCAATAGTCAGCAGTATATGAGCAACTTGAGAAGCACAATTCTCAGAATGTATAAAATAGTAAATGATAATAAGAAGTGTATATACTAAAGCAAACAAAAGAAATTTTCTGGCATTGACCTATTGCCTCTAAGGGTGAATTTCCTTTCAAAGGATTTTGTGGACCTTGATTTATATCGATTCTGTCAACTATGTGGTGTGTTCTTCCTTATTTTGACTATTGACCCTTGAAGCTAATACATGAGTCTAATCCAGACTCATCCTGTATCACTAGCTTCATAAATTCACATCACCCCAGAAAGAAACCTACCGTTTTTACAGAGTCACTCAAAGCTTCCCACTGTTGGAATGGCATCGAGATCTGGCTCCTACGCCAGTGGTCATAGCGAGCTCGACTCTCTTCATTAGTCAGAATCTCCTTTGCCTTCTGCAATTTCTGAAAAGTCTCCACTGGAAAACAAATCAAGAAATAAGCACTTTGCTCTTAGAGAAGTTATTTTAAACTCCCAAACATTCAAACTTATCTCACTGGGATATGTTATTTACTAATTATGTGACCTTGGCTAGCTCCTTTTGGCAAGCTTGAGGTTCCTCATTTGTTACAAAAACAAAAAAACAAACAAACAAAAAAAAACCACATGGTAGATAGTTGATAAATGGTAGTTCTGTCACTAATTTATTTAACCAGATGGCACACAATAAAAAACTTCCATCGCCCTGTTGGAAACAGATCTAATGTTTTTCTATTCCTCAGTGAAGTTAAAACTTCACTGAGCTGAATACAGATCAATACCATGAAGCAATTGTGTTTATGTACACTAGCAATGAACAATCTGAAAATAAAATTAAAAAAATAATTTCATTGACACTAGTATTAAGAAGAATAAAATACTTAAAATATTAAGAAGGGAAGAATAGAAAACCTAAAGAAGGCAGCACAAGACTAAAACCTAACACAGACAAGGAAGTGGGAGTAGAGGAGGTTAACATGACAACTAATCCAGCTGTAGAAATCAAGATCCTTAGGCTCCAATGACTTAACACAAGGCATAAGGTCCAAGCAGGTATCAGACCGCTGTAGAGAGTGTCTGGAGCACAAACCTAAGGATAAAGATATAGAGATTGTGCCCACTGTAGAATCTCCAGTCCCATTTGGATTCTACAGTTATCCAAAATAAGAAACAAGAGTACACACCACAAAGAGAAGTCTATAGCAGTGTAGTCTCTGCATTGGCACAGGACAGCAGTATTTCTGCCCACCTGTGACTATGCAGGTGCTTCTTTCCACCACCTCTCTCTCTCCATAGGGCAGCAACCCTCTGCCTGCCTATTACCTGCACCATGCTAGAGCTTCTGTTCGCTGACCACCCTCAGCAGAGGCTACCAGCCTGAGCCAGCCTGCAACAGTGCAGGCCTCTCAGCAAACCTGTTCCTTTCAGGGCAACTCTTCCTGCTTGCTTTTGTCTATTCAAGTGTCCTTTACTCTTCTGTCCTTTTCCTTAATAAGCCCACTCTTTGAATATAATTAATGTCTCTGTCTCATGAAGAAATTTGCTTGGGAAACTCACCATGTGCTGCTGAAAGGGAAGCTCTGGTGAAACGTTTCCCAGAATGAACCTAAAGACCCCACTCTCCAAACTCATCAACTCCAAAACTTCATCACTTAAGAAAAATTTTATCAGGGCCCTCTCTGGAGGTGCAACGAGTTGAAGCACAGCACTGCGAAGCTAAATGCAGCCACTTCAACCCAAGTTTAATCCCCTACCAGAAAGCTGACCCATATGGCTAGCAAACTCTCCTGCCTCACCTACTGCTCCCCTCAGCAGTGTACTTCATTGATCTGCCTGTTCTGCTCCCCATTCTGACTCTGTTGAATCCTCTCACCATCTCTGCACCTCTGGCCTATACCCCAGTTCTATATGCACAAATAAATTAATCTTTAAAAAAAAAGAAAAAGAAAAATGTTATCAAAAGAAATGTAGGACCAATATACTGAAAACATATAAAACATTACTGGAGGAAATTAATTATCTAAATAAATGGAAACCACCCATCCTCTTGGGTCAGAAGACAACTGTGGCATGTGGATAGATAACCACATATAAAAGAATGAAATGGGATCCCTCTCTCACACCATACACAAATGTTAACCTATACAAGTAATAAGATCAACATGCATCATAAATCTAAATGTAAGAACTAAAATCTTTGTGACCTTGGATTAAGCAATGGCTCCTTAGATTTATCATCAAAAATGCAAGCACAAGCAACAAGAGAAAAAAAAATTATACTTCATCAAAACTGAAACTTTTGCACTTCAAAGAGTACCATCAAGAAAGTGAAAAGAAGCTGTGGAATAAGTGAAAATATTTACAAATCAGAGATAATGTGGGATCTATAGCTCAAATTCATAAAGAACTTTTATAACTCAATAAAATCAGTAATCTAGTTTTTTTTCCAGTAATCTAGTATTAAAATGGGCAAAGTATTTGCACAGACATTCTCCCAAGAAGATATACAAATGGCCAACAAGCACATGCAAAGATGTTTGACATCATTATTCATTTAGGAAATACAAATCAAAATCACAATAATGTATTACTGCAGAGGCCCAAAGATGGCTAAAATAAAAAAGATAATATCAAAAGTTGGAGATTATGATGAAAAAATGAAAGGTTCATATATTGTACATGTGGTTGCAAAAGTTACATAGCAACTTTGAAAATGTTTGGCAGTTCCTCAAAATGTTAAAGAGAGTTACCATATAATCCAATAATTGCAACCCTAAATATATACACAAGAGAACTGAAAACTTTCTACCAAAAAATGCTTATATACAAATGTTTATAGGAACATTATTCATACTATTCAAAAAGTGAATATAATTTAAATGTCTATCAACTGATACAAAGATAAGCAAAATGAAAGAAGTCTGTCACAAAAGGTCATATATTGTATGATTCCATTTATATCAATTATCTAGAACAGACAAATCTACAGAGACACTAAGTAGATTAGTGGTTGCCAAGATACAGGCAGAGGGAAATGGGAAGGTAATGAGTATGCAGTTTCTTTCCTTTCACAACCTTATAAGATAGATGCTGTAGTTGTTCCCATTTTACCAACCTAATGCAGAAAGACATTACTGTAACTCTGCCTAAAACTTCAAATGATAGAGCCAGAATTCAAATGCAACTCAGTCAGGCTCACCTGCCAGTACTCTCTAGGCAACACCTGGCTTACTACCTTCCTGTTCCTTCCACTTTCCTGCAATGCATGTTACCCTCTAATCCCCACTTTTTCCTCCACCTCTAGGAATAATAAAAATGTTATTATCCATCAGTAAGAGTCAGGCCATGCTCTTGAAGAATTCAGAGTCTACTATGAAAGCAGATATATACACAAATCACTCCAATATGATGTGATAAGTAGAAATAATACTGGTGCTTACTTGGGAGGTCTGGAAATAGTTCCTTAGTTTTCTGTACACTTGAAATCATCCTTGATGTAGTCCTTCTCACCTATCTCATCTCTAATACATTAGCAAACCCTGCTGACTCAATTTTAAAATGTACCCAAGAGCTGACCTCTTATCACCACTTACACAGTCACAGTCATGGTTTAAGTCATTTCTGCTTGGCTGATCTCCCTGCCCTTGTCTCCATCTTGTTTCTACATAGCGGTTAGGGTAATATTTTTTAAGTAAGTCACACAAGATCACTCCTCTGCTCAAAATGATTTCCAGTGACTTACCATTTCCCTCAAAATAAAACTGAAAATCCTTTTCTTGGCTAGTAAGACTGGTACTCTGCCTGCCCTTTATCCCTTTCTTCATACTCTCACCTCATTTTCTTCTACTTTCCCCATGTCCACTTCAGCAGCCATATTTGCTTCCCTGATGTTCCGTGAGTACTTCAAGCACACTCTGGCCCCAGGACTTCAGCACTTGCTATCCTTTCTGCCAGGAACACTTTATCCCTGGCACTCACAAGATTCATTTTCTCTCAGATGTCAGCTGTTGAGGCCTTCCCTGGCCAGGCAGCCTCATGAGCCTCATTCCTTTATTTCCCACTTTTACTCTTCTTCAGAATTCTTATCTGCTGATATATAGTTACTTTATGATCTGACTCCTCTTGCAGAATACAAATTCCATTAGGGCAAAGACTATCTGTTTTGTCCTCTGCTGCATCTCTTGCACTGAAGCAGTACAGTAGGAGTCAGAAAGTCTATGTTCACTCAATGAATAAATGAATGCTTCCATTTTTGTGTGAATATAAAAATATTCATCAGTGCTATTCCCTGAGCTCCAAGTACCAAAACTGATCACACAGTCCCAAAACAGTCTGTAAATTTGGGACATTTTAAAGATTTGTTTTTATTTATTTATGCATACAAGAACTGGGATGCAGGGGATGAGAGGATAAACCAGCGAAGGAGTGGGGAGCAAAACAGGCAAAATGACTGAAATACACTGCTAAGCGGAGCAGCAGCGGAGAGACAGCAGAGGTCTGCTGCACCATATGGGTCAGATCCCTGGCTGGGGATTGAATTCATATGCTTCAGTGGCTCAGGATTGCTTCATAATGCTGAGACTTCACCACTTGCGCCATCAGGGAGACCCAAATTGGGACATTTTAACAGTATCATTAAGTAAAACAATTAAAAATACCTTGATAGTATTAAAAATACATCATGAAAAGTAGTCAAATCCTCTAGAACAGAAGGTATCAGGGTAAATGTGCAGTCAGTATTGATGACACCTTGATACCAACTGCAAAAATACTGCAGTACTTTCCATAGCCCAGTTGGGAAAGAGATGCTGTTCTTACACCCCAAACATCATCACTCCAAGCATTATCCCCAGCAGCCAGAGATAGTGCTCATAATAACAGGGCACTTCTAGAACCCTGCACCACAGATGCACAGCATTGGTACCTAACAAGCCATCAGTTATTTAATATCACTTCTAGAGGTAGTGGTAACAGTGGGTTAATGGGAAGACCTGAAGATACAGCTATTGAGAGCTATAGGGAAACAAATTAATAGCATCTCACCATAGAAGCTCACCTTAGTGAGCAATTCTTTGTTACTGAAGAGCCATGTATATGCCCCACTAGATAAATGACTTGTCACTTTTCCCAACAGCATAAAAGGCTTGGCTCACTTAATTACCACTGTGGGTGTATATGCCAGTCACTCCTGGAGCCGTGGTTGTAGATGTTTACATATTTATCCATGAGTCACCTTCTCTTTGTACATTACTGTTGGCCTCATTTTCAAGTTTCCTGAACAAAAGAAGTCCTTTTGGAATTATGCTGATGTCAATCACTCAACAATTGATATAAGCAGAAAGCAAAAGGGACTTTATCTTTCCTATTAGGTGACCTTTTCCTTGTTCTGTCCTCTTCACCACATTTAATAAAATTGGGTTCTGGTATATATTTGTTCTT